TATTTAATTTTCATTTCTTTCAGATTTAATAGATAAGACAATGGTTGAGGGGGAAGAAAAAAAAAAGAAAAAAGAACAATAATAAGAAAAAAATAAGCGTAACTTGTAGGATATATTTGTGTCAAGCAAATGAATGTCTTTCCGCGTGTATAACGATGCCTATTGTGAATAAAAGGGGTAGTAGAGAGAGGGGTGGTGCTATTCGATGAGTCGTTCGAATCGAGCTTTTAAAGCATCAAGCTTTCGAGCACAGTTTTTTCCTAGCCCGATTCTCACATTCACGGCACTTCGAATTCAGTCTTCCTGCCACACCGAGAGGCACTTTGTTCCTCGTTATCGATCATATAACACGCGGTCGAAAGCCGCGTATACCTACGAACGCAGCTGCGAAAGATATATAAGCGTCAGACGCTTAAAATGCTGAAAGAAAGAAAGAAAAAGAAAGAAAGAGAGAGAGAGTAAGAGAAAGAGAGAGAGAAAGAAGAAAAGTGTACAGCGCGCGAGATGATGACGATCGAGTGAAACGTTTTAGAAACAAGGAAAAAAAAAGAAAGAAAAAAAAAAAATGGAAGAAAAAAGAAAAGAACTCGACGAGGACGAGGACGACGACGGTCGTCTGCTCGTTATTCGTTGCTGGCGTTAACGTTTGAAAAAGAAAGAAAATAAAAAATATAGGGAGAGAGAGAGAGAAAAAATGATGAAGAGAAAAGGGGAAAAAAAGAAAGAAAAATATCTCTCTCTCCCGTTAGACATTTCTTTTTTTTAGTTTTTTATTTTGTAGATACGATTTGAAAAAACTTCGAACTCCGAATAAGAAAAATGATTTTTACGTCTTTGTATTCTGAAAATAAAAATGTCACATATATATATATATATATATATATGTATTCGATGTATATTTCGAATGTTTTTCAAATAGTGGATATATTAGAACGAATAAAAATCTTTTAAATTTGTAATTTGAAATGTTTCAACGTAATATAAAATATATATATACGTTATTTTAATTATCGTGAAGATTTTCTTGATATCATTCTACCGAATTGAGGAAATTAATAAATTCGAGACGGTTTCTCTTTCTGATTAAACACTTAGAATGTCCTTCGTCAGGGAATACGGAAATATTGCTACTCGAAATCAGTCGCTTTTGTGGGATAATAGGATTAACAATTTAGCTGGTCTGTCTGATTGATTCTCTCGTTGTTACCAATTGCATTCGTGAGCGCTTTCCCTCTCTCTCTCTCTCTCTCTCTCTTATTCTCTAATTATTCTTCCCTTTATCTTTCTCTCTCTCTCTAATTCATCCTTTTCTCTTTTCCTTTTAAGTTCATCCTTCTTTACCTCTCTCTTTCTCTTTTAAGATCACACTTTTTCTAACTCACAACCTCCCACCTCTTTCTCTCTCTCTCTCTCTCTTTCTTTTTCATTAGGTAGCAAGTACGTCAGAGCAAAGTAAAATTCTTATGGACCATTACCAACGGTAGGGTAAATATTTGCTCTGTGCTACGGATTTCGCACCCTCGTCTCCCTGACATTTTGCCATCGTGTACCAAAGACAAAGATAAATGTTTCGAGCATCATGTACTCGATAGAACTTCGGGAAAATAATGTCACAGTGATTTCCGGTACGGTGGTACGCATGAAAAATATGTCCCCGCTACTGTCGGGAAAACAGATATTATACCCTTGACACACTTGTACGTTTCGTGTCTCGAGTGCACTTACGAATAACTCTTTGAGCAGTTGCTCTTTCTCTCTCTTTCTTTCTCTTTCTCTTTCTCTTTCTCTTTCTCTCCCTCTACTCAACTTCGTCGTCGTCATAGTGGTTCCCGTTGGAGATACGACTCTTCTCTTCTTTTACGAGTTTCTATGGAGACGGAATATTTCGTTGCTTTTGAGATATGCAGTATGTATATGTATATGTGTATATATATATATATATATATATATATACGTGAAAAGTTACCTGTCATAAAGCTGAGCACCTGAAATATTGTTCTTTTTTTCCCCCCCTGTGTTTTGCACATATTATTATTTTAAAATGTTATTTTATTAATGATCCAATTTTCGGGCTATATATATATATATAAAAAAGAAGAAGGCACGCTCGACGTTTATAATAGGAAATCCTTCATGGTTGCATCAATGAAATTATTCAAGGCAATATTATCGAATTAGCAGATAATTCAATAACGTCATGGTGATTCGATTCGGCTCGTATCCGGAGTATATGCACATATATTATCGTGTCACTTGCTCGCGAGACAAACGTCCCAATCGAGCGAGCCAATTTCTCGCGAACGTACACGTACTTCCATGGGAAACTGAATAATTCATAACGTTATAGTGCTGATAACGGAAAAATAAACATTGATACGTATATATACTTTGAAATCTCGCGTGCTTGCTTTGTCTCCCCACTTTATCTACTTGTTTTCATCTCTCTTTTATTACGTTCTATATCTTCACGCTCTAAACTGTTTTGTTATCTATTTTGTCTATTTTGTAATTTGATCACATCCGAAACCACTTTATAAATGGTCTAGCTAATTACAAAAAATATATTCGTCCTAAAAAATCGACCGCTTAATAAACAAAATTTTTCTCTTGATGTAAAAGAAAAATAATAACTTGGAAAAATGTTTGCCTTACGTGTTTCTCGTAATCGATTAAGTAAATCGTTAAATCGATATTTTTGTTTGTTTTCTTGATAAAAGAACGAACGAACGAACGAATGAACTAACGAACGAACAAACTCCGTTCGTTTACCGTTCATTAGTTTTATCATTGAAAATAATATATTCCTACTATTTGTTGAAAATAATAATGCGCATTCCATGAAAATTCCATTAATAACATCGTTAACATTTTTCAACATTTATTTAACTACCATGCGATCCATTTTGCAATTCATTTCTGATACCAATTACAGAAAATAATTATTTCAATTGTTTTTAACCAGAGATACGGAACTCCTCATATTTTATAATCGATGGTATAAAATATTCAATATTTTCAGAATTCATGGTATCATATTGTTTAGTAATAAATTATTATAGTTTTCCAGTTACTGATAATAGAACACAATTACGTAGAAAATAACTTATAATATAAAATAATATCAATTTATTTAGATTCGAATAAAATATTTTGTAATTTAATATAATATTGTTTAACAGTAAATAACCACAATTATAAAGAAAACGAATGACTTAATTATTATATTTCTATGAAAACCATTCGCGAAAGAAAGAGAAAGAGACAGAAAGAAAGAGAAAGAGACACAGAGAGAGAGAGAGAGAGAGAGTGAGTAAGGGGGAGGGAGGGAGGGGGATACTTCGTTCGTTAAAAGCCCTTTTCTGTTCTCAAGAAGATTTAGGTCACCGAAAGATGATTATATTTTACAACGAGATTCCCTCATCTTCCGGTGCACGTATCCGAGAATTTTTACGCGGTTTCTCCTTGTCTTGTTTTAGAAGGTAGCATCGAAAATAAGCAGCTTACCCTTACGAGAGAAATATTTCTCTCTTACGTAAATGTGTTCGTTAAGAAATACATACCGTCCTGAGTCGAATAGGCTACCATGATATCAGAAAATGTAGGTATGGTGTAAGAATCTGTTCTACTATCCGTTACGTCTACAGTTTGATACGTTCCTAATCGAGGTTCTCCTATAGCTGTAACTCCATCGTCAAATTGATTACCGCGGCAAGCCTGAGGTAAACAGAATAAAAAAAAGTATAAATGAAGGTGAGTGACTTTTTTAACTCACTCGACAGCTCTTTTACTATTCCGTTTATTAATTTGATCGTTTTAGAACTTATAACGGGAATAACTTGAAAAAACAGGGGAAGTAAAAGGAAAAGAAAAGAAAAAGGAAATAAAGAAGAAACCAGAAAAAGGGAACGTTCATAGATATCAAAAAGTTCAGAAACAAATTTATTGGTCGGTTCGTGCTCGTTATTAAATATTCCGTTTCGATTTTTATTCTCGAATAATGAAAATTATTAGGACGATCTTTGAGAAGGAAAATACGAGGAATTGCATACCGCACGACTCGACAAATAAACCATAGGATGTACATGTGTTTTACGAGCGACCTTTCCAAGATACGAGACCGTAAACGGTCCAGCACGATCAGCATCCATAAGCTGACGATTCAAGCGGTTTTACTAGCTTTTATAATGATCCAAGATACTTTACGAGCATGCTATATAAGTATCCTTAAAGAAGAATATGATTTTAGAATAAGAGGATGAAAATGAAACATTTTTCTTAATCGGTTATCAAAAAAACATGTGTCTATTATAAATCATATATAATTGCGTGTAAATCTATCATTAGAATATACTCAAATAGATTCAAGATCAAACAATCATCTAATCTCTCTAATGAAGAGTTAAATCAATCGTCTGATCGTTTTCAATTCCAAATTACGATCTAATAGTAATATGAAAACTTGATTAGAATTAGATGTATTTGTTTGCAGCACATATTCGAATAGATTTACAATCATACGATCGTATAATCTTTATAATGATCTAAAATAAATAATTACTTCAATAGACTTGAGAGATTTGATAATTATAATATTTGAAAGATTTACCACAACAGGTATAACAAATGGTAATAGATACATACCTGAATGAAGAATAATTTTGGTTTTCCAGCAAGAGTGACACATTGATCAGCAGTGAAATTTTTCCAGAGCAAATCAACGGGATAAAGACTGTCTGACGAATATAATAAATTAGATTCCCCGTGTGACATGACTGCTACGATTAGGCAATCGGCATCCGTGTGGTCTTCCGCAGCGGCTTTAATGAAAGGATTAATTAATTAAACATAGTCTAGGTGGTAATGGTCGGGAGAACTGTTTATCGTAACATGCAGCTCGTACGAATGAGCAAACGGCAATCTGGAATGTGGCGCAAAGGGTTTATGGTGGGTTCCCGTATCCGGGCTTGCGTTAGGATTGCGTTCAAATTGCGTTCGAATCACTCCTCAGTTTACCACGCTGAATTACGCTTTCTCTTAACGTCTTAAACTATATCTACCCATTAATATATGTAAGTACACATATATTTAACGAGAATCTATTCTATAATATTTTGTAACTTTGAATAATTTCATAAATTATTTCTTAAGACTGTTTATTAATTATTATATTAATTAAATTAATGTTTAATATACATGTACGTGTAATAATTATTGTACATGTATTTAACGAGAGAAGTATTTCAGTATTGTTTTTTTTACATTATAGTCGGATAATTATTCCTTTCGAATATTTCTTCATTAGATTAGTCTGTTATATTATTTTAGTTATCATTTTAATTACACCGTTTCTCTAATGAATGAGTATTAAATAATATATCGGATAAACGATACGAGATATAATCTTATTAATTTCAATTGAGGAAAAATAAGGGCACACTTTTAAATGAAATGAAATGTAACAAAATTTATGATAAATTTAACACGTTGATGATTATCATTGTGAATACTTCATTATCGGATTTGCCAACTTTGTTTAAAACATTTCATATATTTTCTCTCGTTATAATACAAAACTTTAATCGTGAATCATCATAAGACTTATAAACCTGACATTGAGAAAAAAATACTACTATCTGATATAATCTCTTGAAACTCAACGTATTAACGATTTATAAAGAGAAATAAGTTAAGATTATAAAAAGTATATTCTAGAAAATAATCTAAAAGATAAAAATATGTACTTGGAATTTCATCATTTGAACATATAGTAATTTACAATTGTCAGAAAAGTTTTTCATTTCAGACAACTTTAACTATTTATAGGATAGAAAAACTTAGAACAAATGAGTACACAAGATCATTCTTTTATACCTTTTTGTTTTTTGTTCTTTCTTCGAGAAAAAACGGGGACACTGATTATCCGTGAAAGAAAGGACACTAGGATATTATGGCGTTAGCGTAATTGCTACTGTCTAATCGTGGCTATCCAGCTTTTCCACCCAATACCACCCATTTTACACGAGTATCGTCATTTTAAGGCACGTCTTTGCTAATAACATCCGCTAGCAACATTTTCTCTTTCCTTTCAAAGAAGGCTAAACCTCGCTTGGTTTCGATCGATAGCGAGGATGCGCTATAAATTTCGAAGTTTATTACCAACCAACCCTCCTCCCTCTCTGTATCTCTCTAACCCCCTCAACCACCCACCCACAACCACCCTTTCTCCTCTGTTCCTACTTTTACCCCACTACCGCCAGCAACACCATCACTGAGACCAACAGCACTTGATAGTTCTGCAACGCGAATGTAAATTCAGTCTGGTGGCGAATGTGGCGAGTATATATTTCAGGTTAAAAGCTTCCGTAAAATATAGGCTCGTTTATAAATAATCAACGCGTATTAAACCGCGTAGGTATTCCTATACGCGAAATATGTATCAAATGAACCATATAAAATCTGATCTCGGCTTTTTTTTTGCTTTTATTCAATTAAAATAAATAAAGAAACCGGAGGAGAGGAGAATTTAAATATACGAAATTAGAGAAGATAGGATTTATAAATATATATATATATATATTTATCGAAAGAAAATAAATCTTAATGTAATGATAAATGTTCGACGTTAATTATCATAACGTTTAATAATTCTTTTAAGTATATATATAATAAATGTAGTCAAGGTAATAATACTAGAAGACTATTCTGAATGAAATATCTTTTTTCGGTTAATATATTCAGAAAATTGTAATAGACGTATTTAAATAAACGCGTTACACATGAAATATATTAAAAATGTTAATAGAAGTTTTTGTTTCTCATATAACAGAAGAATATGAAATACATCGATTTGAAAAATGTACATAAAGAAATATTAAATATTATATATAATAATTATATAATCGTTCTTTTTATATAATAAGAGTTCAAATTTTATGAAAGGAATGAAATTCTATTGCGAATTAAATTTAACAATTTTTTACCCGCCTTCATTTTTCCGTCTATATTACAATCCACCACGGATGTTCAACTTTTAATTGGCACTTTAACGAACCTCGCGACGACATATAATAATAAATTTTTATTTATGAGTAGCGTCTTGAAAATAATACTTCAATATGATCCATCGAAAGTTTATAGATTTTTAATTGTTCTTTTCTATCTCTTTCCTTCTCTCTCTCTCTCTCTCTCTCTCTCTCTCTCTCTCTTATTACTTCTTCGACTGAACATGAGTTGTTATTAAACGCGAGTTGGCCCGAGGCTCAAACTAAGTTCACCTACATATTATGTATACGTACGTTCGTATAAATGCAAACATGCAATATACATATACGCGTACATAGGAAAATTGGTTAAATGATGGGTCTGGATTTCCACGTGGAGGCTTGCAATTATTAACAGCTGGTCGCAGTAAACGTGTATTCCACTTAACGTCCTGGAATATTCATGCCACGAAGTACAAATAAACTGTTATATAGGAACAAGGGCCTACGGCGAGGAAGAAATTATCCGTTCTTTTGCTTGGTTGCTCTTAACTAACTAAGGAAGTAAAAGATAAAGGAAAGGCCGATGATTTCAAAGGATTCATTCTAACGCTCGGACAATTTCGAACTGACTGAGACCCTTGGATCATTATACTTTCGTACTTCTACACTCTAATAATTCGGATAACGAGCCAGCTCCAAATCGTTATTCGACTGCGTTCGTTCAAATAAATAATCATACAAATAATAATAATAATAATAATAATAATAATGAAAGCTATAAATATTCAAGACAATCGACTTTCATAAACTATACTTACTCTCTTGTAAAATATTCGAAATCTTTTGGAAACTTGGATCTTTATGCATTCGGACCTCGAAATCTAGATTTCTCAAAGCCCATGTTAAATCGTTGCAGTCTTTATCGGAACCTTTTCTTATTGTCATCTTGTCGAAATATACATTGTTGAAGATCAGAGCAACGCCTCTTCTTTTATGATGCATATTGTAATTTTCTGCATCAGGAAGGACGTCAATGTTGACAGTTATTTTCGATATTGACCCATCGTTTGTGTCTCTGTAAGGATTTGTTTTTTTAAAGTAAGAGTTATTTTAAAGGGGCTTAACAGAAATGTGAAAGCAACCTAAGTGCAATAATCTTGAAACTTAACTTCATGTTACGTACAATACGTTTTCGCGAACTTGCAAAGTGTAATCTCGGTTGGAAGAAGTAAGACGCGTATGTTAGTAAGTAGCAGAGTATCATCCGGTTAGCAATTTAATTTTAACTTCGATCTAAATCTCCAAATGGATCAGTATAAGAACTTTTGAAATCGATTTGAAACATTTATCAGGGAAGTTCGCGGTTCTAGCGTACGTGAGATCCAGGAACTTTATCTCCTTGTCGAAAACGATACCGCGTCTTTCTCTTGGCGATTAGAACGATCGATGAATCGTACGGTTGAGTAATCGATCGTAACTATTATCTATATCTGTATATCTAAAAGTATCTAATACCAACGTAGAACCGAGCGAAGTACAGGGAAGTTTTTCACGAATCGTTTTTTTTTTTTTTTTTAATCTATCTTTTAGTAAGAGAAACTCGGAGCTTGTCCAAGCGAGATTCTTTATATCTAAACGAGTAGAGCTTAATCGGGCAACACGAGTAATACTTCCGGGAGTAATTATAATATTTTTTGACATTTTAAAATGAAGGTGTTAAGTAGAAAAGTCTACTCGATTGATATAATTTTTTGGCGAGTAAACAAAAAAGAATTGCTTCAACAATAAGTACCCGACTATTTATTCTTGGAAATTAGATAAATCTCATTCATTCTAATCGATTAATCGATCAAAGTTAACATCACAAATAAACTTGCTGAAATAATTGCGTCAGGGTTGAAAGGTTACATAATTTTGGAGCGTACCAAAAAAGATTGCTTCAACAATAAGTATACATTCTAATCGATTAATCGATCAAAGTTATCATTAAAAATAAATTTGCTAAAATAATTGATAGATCAATAATAATACAGGATTATTCAATTTAATACGCGTCATAATATTTTCTAACAATTAGACATATTAATGAAATCATTTACGAATATAATCGAGAATCCATTTAAAACAAAAAAAAAGAAAAAAAAGCCCAAAAAATCTGGATTCTTATTATATCGCGATTATATTAGACGGATCGTTTGAGGCACCCAGAGTAGTTACTCACTTTACTTTTCGAAACGGCCATCCATCCACGTCGGTTCGCTCGGTTTCTCTCGACGAAGGGATACATTGTGCTACGGAAACGCCTCCCCCCTCCTCTTCCGTTTCATCTACCACCCTAGTTTCTGGACAACGCCCGGAATTTCGATCTTTATTCTCTTCTACATTTTCGTTTTTCCAAATACTCGCGTACCCGTCCATCGTTTGCACGGCAGCGTGCACCACACACCAGCTACCACCAATAAAGCGTAACAACACCTTGACGTGAGCTACGTTCACGATCGATTATCTTATCGATATTTCCGTCTCGGATAGATAGCGAGATATTCGTGCCGTGAATAAAACGGGTATGACGCATCATATGTTCTCGGTGGACCGGACAAGTGTGGTCTGTGGTCTACTTTTCCATCCGTCTCATCTATAATTTTCTTTTTCTTTTCCTTTTGTCCTTTCTTCTTTCTATTTTCTTTTTTTTTTGTCCCTTTTTTCGCGTTCAATTTTTCTAAAGTCATTTTTTTCGTTGACTAACAAACAAGTACGTACCATGTCGTATTCCTAGTATAGTCTCCTACAACGGATATTCAAATCGATCGATATTTACTATGATAATGAGGCGTGTCTTTTATAGGACTATATACCTGATTTTTTTGTCGTTCTTTTTTTTTTTGTTTTCGTTTCAATGCTGCTTAGATAATACTTTGTTTGTCCCCACCCCTCCCCCCACCCCTCGTAATTTTAAATCCATCAAGGAAGAAAAAAGAAAGAGAATAGTGTCTATATAATATTATATTATGTCGATAATAAAAATAAATCAATATCTGCAAGCACAATGGTTTGAAATAATGACGTTAATCGTTTCGCCTATTTCATCTTCATTTTGAATTATCTATCAATTTTTCTATTTTTTTTTTGACGTAATAATCATAGAATCAATTTTTTATTATACTGATTGGTATTATGATCATTTAAATAATTACATTCAAACAAATTTATTATAATAGAATATATAAAACTTTACACAATCGTTATTTGCGTGATCGATAAAAAGATTTATAGAAATAAAGAAAGAAATAAAGAAAGAATATCATGAAAATAATGAAAATAATTAATTATACGGATAAAAAAAGTAAAGAATAACATTGATATTTGTAATAAATGAAATAAATCTAACGATGAATCATATACACATACAAATCGTACGCGCGTATGTGTACACATATATAATATCGTCAAGTTCTTTCGATAATATAATTTCGCTAATAATCGAAAATAATAAACCGATTTCGCAAAATCTTTGTTCACAATCTAATCTCTCCCTGTTCTTTATCTGGTTTTTTCTTTTTTTTCTTCAGACATATAACATGGATGCGCAAGTCGGCGAATCATCGGCGTGCGCGACAGCTTTGCTTTGTGGCGTTAAAGCGAATTACGAAACAGTAGGTTTGGATTCTTCGGCTCGTTTCGAAAATTGTTACTCGAGTTTCGACGCGCACGTGCCATCGCTCATAAATTGGGCACAGGGCCAAGGCAAGTATACATACGTTTTGTCTATGATTATTTTTCCCGAGAAACAAATTTTCGGCTGCTACGTGATCGACATTTCCTTTTTTTTCTATTTTTTTCCTTTCTTTTTTGTCCTTTCGTTTTTTTATTTTTTTTTTTTTTTATGATTTTTTGTTGTTGTTTTTTAGGTAAATCTACGGGATTGGTTACGACCACAAGAGTCACGCACGCAACACCAGCGGCCCTTTACGCTCATGCGGCAAGCCGTTATTGGGAAGACGATGGCAAAGTACCATCTGCTTCTCGTCCTTCCTGCAAGGATATCGCACGACAACTTCTCGAAGACGAGCCTGGTCGTAATATCAATGTAAGTAAAGGATACTGATATTTTTTTTTAAACTTATTTTTCATATTTTCAAATAATTATTATAATTTGGTACTTGTTTGTTTTTTTACGTTATTTATAATTGTATAAACATGGTTGTTTTTTGTTTAAACGTACAATGTTTAGTTGTTACTATTATAATTATTCATTGTTACAAGTATAAGGATGTTAATAATAATATAATTATTCTTAATAGAATAATTCGAACATTCTCGTTTCTAATAAATACGTATTTGTAGTAAGGTTGGCTTAAAGGGATTGAATAGCTTACAATTGTGATCAAAAGCAGTTGCGCAGAAGATAAAAGACGAGACCCTGCTTTTGATCATGGTCTAAAACACCCTGGGGCTTAACTTTTTCCACAAATTCAATATAAATAAGGAGTTTATAATAATAATAATAATTATAAACATTTGATTTATAATTATATTATAATAAATTTCATTGATTCTTATGACAATATATATTTTTTTAATTGAATCTACGAAGAATGAAATCTACGAAGAAATTTGCATTAAATATTTATAATAATTAAACATATATAATTCATTCATACGAGATCAATATTCCGTATAAATATTGATTACACTGCAATTAGGGAAACATTTCGTTTCTTAATTATTCACACGACTA